CCCCAAAACCCCAAAACCCCAAAACCCCATAAGGGAAATTCTGGGGAAGATTAAGAAAACATTATGTGATATAATCATTCATTTTTTAATCGCAATTATTTATAATAGTTATTAATTGTATTTATTGAGCTATTATTTGATTTGCAAAGGTTAATAGCTAGGGAAAATGATTTACCATATCATTCAATTTCTTCATCGTAATCTTCATATTTTAAATAATCTAGTTCTTCAGGAATATATTCCCATTTATAATCTTACATTTTGCTATAGTTAATCCTGTACTTCCTAATTGTGTTTATTAGCGAGTAATGATTGGAGATTCCATCAAAGAATACAATAAATACCTCAAGATATTTATTCCTAATTTTAGTCGTAATAACTGATCCAAATTTCTTCACCTAACTTGCTCCTAATTCATCGATATGAAATGCTTTACTTTAATCAATATCAACAATGATTAGATTTTTTATCTTGGAAGCAATCATGAATTGCGGTAGATGGGGATAATTTATTGAGTCATATGCAAAATTCGTTCTTGCAAATCCAAATTCTTATAGGTACTTGTTGCATATTTGATACTTTGATGATTCCTGGTAAATGATGTTTAGTTCATCAGAACATGTATCAAATGATATAACTTAGCTATCAATTAATCTTGAAAGTTCAGTTAAATCAACTTTTTCGTCAGTGTTTTAAGAATCAGCAATTTCAGATTCTTCCAGAGCTAATTGAACTTCTTTTGTTTAATATTTATTGAGTTTTGAGACTAAATCTGTGTGCTATCCAAGGAGTTATTTTAAGTCATCACTCAAATTTAGTACTTCAATGTCACTTTTCTTTATTTGATGGAAATATTTGAAAACAATATCATGTTCTTTATTAGCCTTGAATATGAAGTTATTTTCAAAACAAATCATTATAGAATGAGTCTTTTTACACTTTAATATTTGAATCTCTTTATTCAAGAATATCTTGTGAAAATCCAAGAATTTAAATTTTTCCATATCATTTAAGTTTTGAAACAAACTAACTTTCGCCTTAATAATCTTCTTTTTTATATTTATTATGTATATTTAGAAGTCTTGCTGGTAAATTACAAGGGTGTTCTTGTCTATCATTCTAGGGTACCAAAACAAGCCTATTCTTCGAGGTAGTCTCCATACTATCTTTAAATTATTGGCTCTTAGAATGTATCTCCTATTTTCATTAACTTCTGCAATAAGATAATTGTAGCCAAGATAGTGAATACAAGTAATATGCCCAATAAATCCCTTTATTTTTGCTTGTCTAAATTTCATTTATAGTTAGAACCACAAATTTTAAAAATTAAATATATTAAAGTGTTATATTTTGACTCTTATTTATAATTTCTTTATGAGCAACTAATTTTTATTTAAGGGGTTTTGGGGTTTTGGGG